AATAACGTTACGCAATTTATTTAAGAACTCATTTAATAATATGACGTGATTGATTAGATTGAACGGAACCATGCACGCAACGTTACTGATCGAAAAATAATTTACATATGTTACATATGTTTAGTAAAATGCAATTATACATATACGTATTATTTCGCATTCAATATACGCACGTTGTGAGTTCACAACGAAAATAAGTACTTCACGTTGTAATTTCACAATTAAAAGTAGAATTTCGTACGGGAAGTTAGTTCACAATGAAAGTAAATGCCCGATATTGGGCGAATTCGTGTATCATTGGCGTCATAGGAACATTCCAGGGTCTTCGTTTTCCAGGGTCTTAGTTCTTAGTTTTCCAGGGTCTTAGGTCTTCGTTTTCCATACACCCAATTTTCTATAACGTATTTTGTATTTCAATTCGACAAATGCGCATTAGAAAATATGGGTAAAGTTCAATTTCCGTTGTCGTTTTCAATATTGATAAATTATTTTTTGGCATAATCATATTTACTTTATGTGCCATGTATTTTAAATACCAGTAATGAATGGCCGCCAGGTGTCACGGATTGGTAGTGTTCAAGAATAATTCTAAATATTATTTTTTACCAAAAATATTAGCTAAAAATAGAGAATTAAAGATATTGAACAAATCTGACAGGGTTCCTTCCAAGGTATCTACATATAAAGTATCAAAGCAATGTAGCTAGTAATTTTCAAGAAGTCGAAAATGCAATTGTCGGCAGATGAGGGACAATCACCTATGTAAATTGCTCTGCTCTGTCATGGGAAAGGTTAGAGGAAATAATGTACATTGTATATGAATGGTGGTTTTCTGAGTAATCAAAGAAAGGGCTTCAAAAATCAGAATAGAAAGTCAAGTGAAGCTTGAGAGAGTATATTCCTTTCGTGCAAACTCAAAATAAAGTCTGAAAAGTTAGTGGATAAAATTGAAGTCCATATATGCATACCTACTTCAAGGATATTCATATCTTACCAACAAACAAACTGATTTTATCAATTTCCAAATGATCAAGCAACATTATCAGTGAAAGGCACTCTCCACGTACAAAGTGGGAGTGCCACTCTAACCATACATATGGACATGTACCCAAAAACAGTGCAACAAAGAATGAATTCAGTACATTAGGAATTTTTAAATGTATTTTACTAATATATATATATACATGGTGTATACAGATACAGTAATAGTTTTACAAAGACTTCGAAATAAGTTACAATTTGCATTGGATGAATATTACATGAAAACAGAAACTGGAATGTCATCAAAATGAGCAATTTCACATATCGTATTCCCTGTTAGGATAACAAACGTATGCTTCAATTGAACGTACTTTTTACAAAATCTTTATTCTTAAGCCAATCATGTTATAGTGTGAATAACACTAGTAAATTAGATGAAATTCACATTGTGCTGGTCTGAGTGGCCCAAGTTAATTTTTCCATGGGAAAAATAATGAACGAATCAAAACAGACGCCATATTACACAATGCTGCTTTGAAACACGAATGTACATAATGGCTGGTTTACACAAGACAATTCATCTAGCAATGCAGGCGTTGCCTTATGTGTATGATATACTGAAATATACTTTATTTTAGCTGGAATTAATTTTCGCTGAAAAAAATGTTTTGATGTTTTGTATGGAATTTATTTTCAATGATTTTTGGCGAGTTGAATTTAAAATATAGGAAAAAGGTACATTCCCTGGATTCTATTTTCACTGAATCATATCTACCGGTAGTTCTTCAGCGAAAATCAATTCCAAGCAAAAATAAAAGTATTTAACAGTACTGTATTTGTTCTATTAGAAACACATTTTAACTCAAAATTGCATGTGTTGTATACTGAATCATTACAATATGACTTTATTTTCCCCATAAAAAACACCTGTATCTGTGTATACGCTTCTAATGGAGCAAATGTGAGTGGGTCAGGCAATGAGTAGATGAGTAGATGAGTGAAAGGAAACTTGATTGGCAACACAGCATTGTTGCCAGAAACAATCACCTCGTATAAAATGGCACACTTATTCCTGGGTAACATAGACACCTCACACAAACACAAAAAAAAATCCAGTAATACAAATAACATGGTTTGAAGGCACAATATTCGCACCGTGGGCCACTATTGTTTTTTTCTAGGAGATTATCAACATTGAGGTAAGTTAAACAAGTCACTATGAAATCTGGAATTTGAATATTCCAGAGTAACAACTGAAGTTGACCTTAAGTGAATTGAACAGATTATATCCTTTCTCAGAACATAACACATAAAGTCCATTTTCTTCTAATAGAACACATTTTGTACCATAATTTCCCATATGTTCATAAACAAAGCTAAGTGTATCACCTTGCTTCAATAAAATACAAGCATTTGGGGAAATCATGAATCAAACTATGTAATCCTGCACATATGCTAAACTGAAAGTGTCTGAGGGATTAACTAAAATGCTCATCATATAAGAGCAGATGTTTACCTTAAAACGAAAGCATTTTACATTGCTCTGTGTTTGCAATTACTAACAGTTACATAGAGGTTCGTAGGACCTTAATAGAAACTGTATGATTGTATGTACACATATCTACGACCCAAAGTTTCTATCTACGAGATGAACATTTCAGCTGGTCAGAAAAGCTGACGACAGTGACAATGATGCAGAGGGAAATATTTTTTTTTCCCTTATATACCTCATCCTTCATTAACATCACAGGTAAGGCAAAATGTGAATCCAGTAAAATTATTGTAGTGTGAAAGTTAAAATTGTCATTGATTGTTTCAAGGACAATATTTTGCAAAAGACACTGACTGTGTCTCCCATCTTTAGGACATGAAAGAAGAACTCAATGCTATAAAACTGTCACATCAAATATAGCCTAGAATTTATGTGATTTCTGGCATAGGCATGATAAACTATTAAAGGTAAAGATGGTTGTGGAAGGGGGTTCCCTGCATGCCACATTTAATCTGGCCAATGATTAACTACCTTGATGGTCCTAAAGCTGTGGTACAAAAAGTGACATGTGTAAACAAGTTAATTTGTAAACAAGTTCATGTGTATCAAAGCTTAACTGACCTCAGTTTCTGGGTGTTTATTTTAAAGATATTGATTCTCGTCTCCATCAAAACAATTATCCTTTTATGGTACTTTATTATTTATTCATAAGGAAGCCCAGGCAAAGGAGTACTGAATAGTAAATATTTCTCACACAATAGATGTGAATTCAACTGTTCATACCGGTATATTACGTTACTGTTAAATACTTTATTTTAGCTGGAATAAATTTTTGTATGGAATTTATTTTCACTGATTTTTTACAAGTTGAATGTAGTAAAATACAGGAAAAAAAGTATATTCACTTGATTTTATTTTCACTGAATTATTCAATATCGAATATTAATTTCAAGCAAAAATAAAGTATTTTACAGTACATTAGATTACAAAGCTTATAAATGAATCACTAATAAGGAGAAGAATAGGCATGGAAAGTAGTTCTGGTAATCAGAAGTACCGTATTTGCTCTATTGGTAGTGCATACGCTTACGTAAATTACAGAGGAATTTCTATGGTCAAAATAAAAAATATTTTAATGATTCAGTATACAACAAATACAATTTTTGATTTATATGCGCATCAAAACAGAGCAAGTACAATAATTTGATAATTATTGTAGAATACTTTATTTTCGCTATTTTCGCTGAAGGGATGATTCCGTGAAAATAAAATCCGATGAATATACATTTTTTTCCTATATTTTACATTAATCTTATCAAAAATCAGTGAAAATAAATTCCAAGCAAAACGCCCAAAAAGCCTTTTCAGCAAAAATAAATTCCAGCGAAAATAAAGTATTCCACAGTACAATGTATAACCATTGACATTATACGATGACATTCAGTTAACAAAACAATACAACAATAACAAAAAAAACCAACATTTTTGCAATGAAAAAAACAAACAAGCAATTAGTCTGACATTTTTTTACACAATAAAATAACTGAAGTGAGTTTTAAAAATTGAAGCAGATAAAAGAATTAGTTTAAAAACCAAGGCATTAATTAATAAAAAGTTCATCTCAATAAGTATCAACAATAAATGTACAATTAGCACGTAGATGCAGAGTTGATTAAATTTTAACTGTTGTTACCGTCAGTACGATTTGATCTCATATACGATCGCATCTTTTCCAGTATAGTTGCGTTTACTTTAAAAGGTTTGATTTCACTTAACTGTACCTCTGCATTGTCCCTGTAACAAGAAAACCAATGAATGAGACATACAATACACAGACAAGAATGGTATTCGTAATTAACACAGTCAGGTTTATAAACAAGGAGGAAGATGTGAGACCTGCTTTTGCGACCTTTCACTGATTTCAGAAAATCTAAAGTTCTAACTCAACAGATATGAAATGAAGAAGTTTTCAAAAAACATAGGGAAACTATTATAGCCTTACTCTTTGGAAATGTTGCGAGGGGCAGACAATATCAGAACATATCAAACATTGTGGGGTTCGATAAGGTAGCAAGCAAGACACAGTTAGATATATTGGGGCATAAAACATAAGTTTTGATGCAAACATTAAAATAATCATCTAAAAACAACAAATTTAAGAGAGATCCATTGGAGGTACCTGCATGTGAAATTTGAGGGGGAAAAAATCTGAGGAATTGCATTTTTCTCACCAAATATTCATGCACATGTTCATCCTTGTTCTGTTAACATGTAATAATGGTCTGAGGAATTGCAAATTTATATATATATATATATATATATATTCCGTTATGTATTTTAATCTCAGTGTGTTTTTTATCATTGTTGGCAGTTTTAGATTTCACATACAACACATAGTAAATTGCACTGTTTCATTGTGATGTCCTATCTGATTCTGCCTTTTGAAATTCAATACAATAGAGACAATCAAAATTCACAAGGTAAAACATATCTGAAAAATACGTATGTGGCAGTCCAATTTCTCAGCAGATTCTGATTAGATACTAATACATCAAATGTATCAGTTTGCAATAAATTACATTTTGCATGTTTGAGCTCACAAGGAACCAACAACAGTCATTTTGCAAACTATACCTAGCCTTGAACTTGTGTTGAAGGCCATTGCAAAAATCATAAGGATAAAGGATAAGGATAAATCATAAGACCAATTTTTGCAGTTTTCTGATAACCATTGTAAGAGTAAACTGAGAATACAACAGAAGAAGGATAGACCTTGTCATCCAGTGAGTATGCACTTCAACTGATACATGCTTGCTGACTCTGATTTCAAGAGGTCACAACCAGGACAGTTTAGAAAAAAAAGACCAAGTATGATGATGTCATTAACATGTGACCTCTAGTAGAATACATACTTATAGTCGTCATGCTTTGATAAATCGTAAATATCTTCTACTATTAGTATAAAAGCTTTCCCACCCGTTGCTGGCATCAAACCATTCTCATATAACCAGGCTTTGTCTTGTTGATCCCCTGCATACTGAGAAAAGAAATAGAAATAAATCAATATCAGTTTGCTAGTACGGTAAGTAAGCAGATGACACAATTAAGGGCCTTCCTTTATCATCTGGGAATTTTATTTCATAAATCATGTGATATTTATATGGTGTATTTACAAATACTCTTGATTTAAAGAGGAAGCTGTCAATCTCTGGGATTGCACAAGGGAATCATGGGACACTATTGTTTATATAAATTTGTCTGTACTTTTTTCTTACATTCTTCATTATTTCTGGAAATGAATCCTAATTTTGGAGCCAAGTGACAAAATTTGAGTCAATATTCAGTTTTTACTCAAAAAATTTGACTACTTTTGTACCAATCTTCACAAGGAAAATGCATACTACCGTTTAAACAGAACTATTTTGTGATGAAAAGAGTAAAGTGTTGGTGAAAAGGTTAAAATCTGAGATGATATACTAATACAACATTGGCGACAATGTTATGCAGCAAATTGACATACATAGATCATTAAGAATGACCAAAAAGGAGAATTTACATACAAGGATGACAATTTCATCTTACCTTGAAAAGTTCAGGATGTTTGTAATACAACCTTCCCCTTGTTGCACCGAGCCCCAGAGCTCTAAAAATAAGAAACAAAAATATTAACTCATCTGAATTGGTTGAAATACAGTAAAACTATTCATTTTAACTGCAGTTAATTTAAATAATTTGAAGCTTTGAGCAATTTCATAGGGTTTTGAGTTCACAAGCTTGGTGAAGGAAAACAATGAGTTCTATTGTTATTCTACATGTTCACGTAGATTTAATTTAGTGTATTTTAGTTTAATAGCAAAATTAAAAACTGGAGAATAATTTAATTTAATTTAGTGAATTTTATTTTAATAACAAAATTAAAAACTAGGGAATAATTTACAGTAGATAGGGATGCTCAGTATTGCTATAAGTATTTAAGCAATACAGGCATACATTTTATAATAGTGCCAAACTTTTTTAAGTATCGGTGGTTGTCATGTTTGTCATGGGTTTCACAGTGTTGCCATTGCAGAATTGAATCAAGTCAGTCTAGGCATGCCTGAGAAACAGTTAACAGTTACCGTAATGTTAGTTTTACATTTTAATTACACAATTTTCACTGTATAGAATTATACTAGAAATCATTTTTTCACTGGAAAATCTAAAGCCAAGTGTATATGATGAAAATACTGAAATTGAATCCCAGTGAAAATTAATGCTAGTGACATGCAAGAAATAATATTTACTTATGCAAATCAATGTAAGTGTGTTGTAGGTCAAATTCTTGATGAAGTTTATAGAGTTTTTTGAATAATTAGAAAAAAACAAACATTTGAAGACCTACTTGTTAGCCTTAGCACCCATAACAAAACAAGTATCCTCTGTCAACCTAACAGGATCCCACTTTGGACCTTCCCTTTTAACTGGTTCATTTTTAGGTTTATACTCTCGGTTTTGAAGAGGTGGTCGACCTTTTCTCTGAAAAATAAAAGTTAATTTTCTGAATAACAAGTCATTGAATAAGTTTAGCACTAAAATAGCCGCTATTCAGCCATCTTTAATTGGATCATGAACCAAATGCATGTTCTTATGTACAATGTGCATTTGTTGAAACAAAATGGACACTAGGTGGTTATTTTGGACATGATCCGGAAACAAATGTGCGTGTGTGATACTTTAACAATAATACAAGGCATTATAATATACAATATATTTATTTACCCTTCTTGGTGTTGGAATAAAACTTGCATCAGTCAAAGGTTTAAACTTCTGAAAATAGAGCAAAAAACAGTTTGTTAAGTTGATAATTTTGTCACACTTTCCCACAACATAAAATACAACCTAATTTTCCTATTTTTTTAAATATAGTGTAACTATTATAACTACTTTGCCCATTTGGAATCTACATTTGATAATAAAAATTTTTCAATATAAAATATTGTAAATAAATAAATAAAAAATATTCTATTACAATGTATATATTTCATAAACTTGACTAATCACAATGAGTTTACAGACGCATAGTGGTAAATGTGCTAATGATTAAAGTAAACCGGCAAACGACTTAGGGGTAACAGGTATTACCGAATAGCTTACCCCTTGGTATTCTTTGGATTTGAATGAGGTACAAGGGTCTTTTATAGTAGACTTTTTATAAATATTTATAGGTTTCCTCCAAAAAATTGTATCATATAATATTGATGAAATTTCAAGTGCAAGGCAGGAAATACCAGAAATATTTGCTTAAGGTCAGTGTGCGTGTCAGGTGGAAATATGTGTATCAATTTTTTTTCTTCGAAAAATGTTGAAAAAGTATCACAATCAGAAACAAATCTTTTATTTTCACAAGTGATATATAGAAATATACAGTTTTCAATGTATGTTTAATAGATGAGCTGGTATGCTAATTAAATGTTACGAATTGTCTACTTCAACACTCAGTTTCTAAGTGACAGTGACTTTTACGATATCACCACAAATACCACCAAATAATCAAAATGCATAAATTTAATATAGTACAGTATACTCATGCATATGCATTTTTGATAGATTGAATAGAGTACCAGTACATGTATATATAAACTGTGGATGAATAAAATCATGTCTTGATAAAAAAAACCTCACCTTTCTCACTGGTTCATCTTTTATATCTTCACCTTCTGTTTTACCTGAAGCTATACTTGATGTTTCATCACTTTTAAAAATCTCTTTGGCCTGAGAAATAAATGACAAGAATTATTTAGGAAAAAGAAATTAATAAATGAAGAATGAACATTCTTAATTTCTCCCACTAACACCATTATCAAGTTCAATTAGAGAATATAATCTGTTTACGTTTGAGTGAATTTTGTTCCTGACAAACTGCATAAAGTTTTGTTGGCAATTTTGAAACTATAAAATATTTAATCATCTGAGTTTGAATTGCGGGGCATACGTACTAGACATTCAAATTTCATCATTGAATGTTGACAATTGTTCTGGCTTCCCATTTGATTAAATGTTTGAATTTTCTTATACTCATCTCAGACACACCATTATCAATAGCAGACCCTAGATTTTCAAACTCTACTTTCTCACAGCAGACAAATATACAATTCCTGTCTCTCACAATATAATCATATATGTGTTGTTCATACCTGTTCCATGGCATCTTGGAATGTACTCATTATATTACTTTCGCTAACTGATTTCTCGCCGTAATTATCTCTAATATTTTGGGCAGCAGCATCAAAAAACTAAATTAAAAATGAACAAGAAAATGTAATATTGTTAGCATAGCAAATAAACCACTCTGTGAATCAAACCATAGATTTTCTATGTTTAGATTTAGAAAGTCTCATTCAATCATTCCACAGAGTTTTCCTGTTTGTTTTTGAAAGCAAATACCATACTCGACCAGCTTAGTGCCCATGCTCGGCTAAGTGCCCACCCTCCACCTATGGGACATTTCTATTTTCGGGTTCACGTTCGGCTAAGCGTCCATCTCCTTCGAAATCTAATCATAAATCTTGGTCTTTGATTATTGCTTAAGGAATACTAGTAATCATTTTTATATAATAGAGCATGGACATCGGTTGCCGTGAATATGTTGTGAATGCATAGACCACAATAACCATGCGTAAACTACGCTTCGACAATGACCTGTTAATAAAAGTGAAATGCGGTAAATACCTCAAATCATGATTTTCTGAGCAGAGGACACTGGGCGATAACGCGGCCGAATACGGTAGTGATTTTTTTGGTTCAGCTTCAGAATTCTACAAACTCTACATTTATATCGATACATGAAGATATAATCTTGTTTATAAGATGCAAATGAATTAGAAAATCCAAAATATAATATTATAGTTTATATAAAATATTAAATTTTTTATAAAAGCTCATTTTAATTTCATAATCATACAATGACTCTTGTGCATAGATGATAAAATCACAGTAGAGACAAACATTACAATTGTTGAATTGTCAGCAAAACTTTAATAGTTGAAAATCCCTTAAATTTTGAGTATCGTAAAAACTCAATTAATTCGCAGTAGTAAAAATAATTATTTTTTCAAGTGCGCGAATTAATAGCGTAAAAAACGAAAATTATTGGTTTTTGGTGCGCGAATTAAGAGTATTTTTAGATCGATTCAAAAAGGATCTGTTTTCATAAATTTAGCGACATTCATGGTGTATAGTCGGGCAGAGAACACGCACTGCGTCAAGGACCACACACCATGTTACATTTGAAATGGAACAGTGAAATGGCAAAGGTCACTCTGTACACAAACAAACAATGAACATGTGGCTACAAAGTAGCCTTCTGGCTGCACTGGCTGTCTTCCAGGCAGTACCGTCAGACACAAATTATTAATTGTTTGACAGGTGAAGCCGTCAAACCAATCACCATCTTCGTCGTCATCGTTTAAAAGCAGATCGGCAATGATTTCTGCTATTTCAGTGTTGCTTCGGATAAGGTGGTCTTCTGCCCCGTTGATTGCATTTTTGTAGCCATGTGTTCATTGTTTACATAATTGTTTTTTTTCTGTCGAGCACTTTCATCTACCGGATTCGGCTGATACCCCGCCCTGGGCGATCTTATGGAGGATTCGATTTTTTTAGAAAAATGTGGACCAAAAGATTGCCCTGGCGATGTTATGGCAGATAATACGAAGCCCATCTTGTCTGGAAAAATAACCCTGCGTTGATAAAAATGGTCTCAGAAAATGTTTAGAAAAAATAATGTTTCGCGTTGACCAAATATAATCATGCAAAGTATAAATTCAAAGTGTTTTAATACATTGATGAGAGGTCGCATTTTACGTGAACAAGAACATGCACTAAGAAGGAAAAGCAAGCCAAAGTCGAAACTGGGTGCATAATGGACATGACACAACACACGCTGCGACAACTGAGTGATTAGCGACTTCATTTGAGACGCAATTGAACTTACTTCTTTGCGAAATTTGCTGTGCGGCGATGCTGACATCAAGTGTGTGTTGACCAAAGTTTGACCCCAAGTCATGCACTGAACTGGCGTGTTACCTTAGCAACCTTTTTCTTTCGTGCCACGAGCGTCAATCAAGTCAAATTATATCCGACGGTAAATATGCAACTTGTATGCAACTCTGTACTGGCTTTGAATATATCAACGTCGTTTACTTAGTGCACTGCTTTTCTAATTACGCAAATTTGTTTACAATAATCAGACTAATCTTGATGAAAATTACTTTACACCAAATACTGACATTTAATTTATAATTCATTGGAAAAAAAAATCCTGGGTGCAATTCTGGTGACAGGATGACACCCCAAGATGCTGAAATGCAATCACAACAGAATCCACAGAACTGCTTAATGATGTTAGAATACTTGCAAGTCAGATATCTTTCAAATCCTTCAGCTGTTGTATTTATTACAGTAAACATATTACTCAACATGTCGAAGGATTCAAACGCAATTTTGCTGTCAATACAACTTTCGGATCTGAAATACAGTACTTACATGTCTGTATTTGTCCATAACTTTTTTTATTTCTTTGTTCATAGCACCCTGTAACACAGAACGTAGCAAGTCCAATGCCTTGGCTGGATTCACACATCCTCCATTCCTAGACATTAAAACATGGAGGATTACTACAATGATGTAAAACTACATGAAGTGATGAAAACAGGAAAAACCTGAACTGTAATATTTGAAGGTGGTGTTCATTTCCTTTTTTGTTTCCAACAAATCTAAGCATAGTGGCCTGAATAAATAAAAAGCTCTGGGAAGAATTTAATTTTGTCAAAGAGAAATTGTAAGTAAACGAAATTCTCAAATTTTGTAGCGGTGAAAATGTCTTTGCTGTTCCACACTACAGGTTGAATACACTATCATCATAATTGTAGTAGGCAAAATAAAAATGACTTTCCCTTTCAATATCTGAAAGCAAAATTACTGTCACACACATGGATTAAAAAAAAAGCAGAATACCAGAGAAGGGTACTAGACAGATGATGAGGTATATTGAATTTGCTTTATGCAATATTGCTCCAACCAAACCAGAGTGCCTACTTTTCAAGACCAAAGATAACATAAAAATAATATAACAAAAAATTGTAGATTGTAGGTACAGTTTTTTATATACTGAATTAAACAAATAATACAGTCTAAATTTAAACACAATCAGACATGTGACTCATAGGCAATATTGTGATAAAGTCTGCCAGAGAGGGCGCAATAACTGCTAATGACCATGTCAGGACAACTCCTTCATAGCACACATTCAATTGCCAATAATGTTATCAACCATTTGGTATAATAATTTCACTAGTATATGTTTGGTCCTCTCACCAAATATGCAAATTACTCACCTTGTATTATAATGTGATTCTTCAGTTCTAACTAATTTATTGACACGTGTTGGAAATATCTGAGGTGTTAGACAGAATGGATTTGGCTGACGGAATACAAAAAATAAACATCAGCAATGAAGCTCATAGGACAATATTCAAAGTCACAGAATTAAATTATTCAGTTGTCAGCCAGTAAAATAGACCTTCAGTACGTTGTGCAAGAAAATATAGTACTACCGGTATATCTCCTCTAACAGCATTGCATGCCTTACGTAAATTAAATAATATTTTACAACAAATTTACGTTTTGGCTTATAATTCTAGTACTATATTAAATCTAGTACAGTAGAAGCACATTTCACATAGTAGTGCATGTAAACCAAAATTTGCATTTGTTGTATATAGTCATTGATATTTGACTTATTTTGACCTCTGTAATTTGCGAAAGTGCATGCACTACCAATAGAGCAAATAGTAGGTATGATCTTGTGATAGAAAAGATTTGAAATGACAACCAATTTTGCAGACAAGATAAACTCATAGGACATTAACACATGTTCATTACGGTTAACCTCATTCTATCCTCTTTTTAAATCAAATTTTTAATTTGTGTGTCCTGGTAGTTGTAACACTTTTTAAAAAATTAACAGCTGGTAAGTCAATAATTTTGTGCATTGTGTAATTGAGTAGCTTAATATCAAAATTTTTGAAAATAATTATGCAAATGATATATGCAAATTAGCATGGTATTCCAAGTCGTAGAAAGTAGGAACAGGTAACCCGTCATTTATAAGCAATTCATAAAGTATAAATTTCAAATACTTACTATTTTTACCATTTTTGGTTCGGGAGGCTGGCATGTTGACGTTTGCGGTGTTGTTACAGCTGCTATTGGTCTTTTTTCTGCGCTTGTATTCACAACAGGGACTTGCTGTGCTTGTGACCTTATTGCCTGTGGAACATTGCCTTTCATCGCAGACTGAGCAATGAACATTTGCCTTTTCTGCGCATCTGGAATCTGTTGCATGATATGGCTCACTGGTAAATGATGGTGTGCTGGGCGGGGTGGCGGCATCGAAAATGGTCCTATATTATGCCGTCCAAAGTCAGAATGTGGAGGATGGGGAGGTCGTGTGGGATGTGTTTGCGCTTGTGGAGTAGGAGGTAGGTTCTGTTTAGTTTTGGGATTCTGCGGGGGAAATAAATGAGAGGTCATGTTCATTGGGTAGCCTGAAGGTACGTGGATGGGTTCTTGTAATAGCGCAGTCAATGGATTATTCACCAATGCGTGGAAATTCGATGCTGATCCGGCAGCAGTGGATAGCATAGCCAGACCACTTTGTGATGAACTTGTGGATGGAATTTGTTGTTGGCCAGGAAGAGTTTGTGGAAGCTGTTGACCATATACAGGATTCATTGTTCTGAAAAAACAAACAAAACAAATGTTAATGTACCTAAAAGCGCATTCATGTGACATAAAATGCTGTCAGTACTCCGTTACATTAAATTGGCGTTCATCCTGTTTCAATTTTAGAGTACAGTGGTCATACACAGAAAAAACAAAACAGACCACCACATATCTACATGTATGTATTGTGACCAACTTCTTCCAAATAAAATGTCAAAGGTCAAGTGCGACATTTGCCACTAGATGCACCCTCACTCAATTTTTAAAGTGTGGAGGACTGAAATTGATCATGGATTGTGTTTACCCCATATTTTGCTTCCTGGACTCCAATTATTGAAGAGCGACCCAGTTTTTCAGGCAAGTTGGGGTCCAATCTTCAATAAAGTTGTCCAGGGTCAAATTTCAATTTCTTAAAATTTTGTGGGACTCGTCTTGCCGAGACACGAGCGCAAACCCTGTTGTTAATTATGTTAGCACATGACATATGATATGAAATCTGCTTTAATGCTTATTACCGTACTTATCCGGGTAAGAGCCCATGCCTGGACAAACACCCACCCCCCACTTTTGACACAATAAAGAAGTTGAGGTCATATCTGGGCACACGCCTAGGGGGTCTTTTTCTACACAAAACAAAAAAAACAAAAAAAACTATTTTCTATTCGTTGACTGTGGTTGTATTAACTGTTGACTTTCTTGAAGTCTGTCGTGATACTTATAAACATTGTTAATTGCGTAAAACAAGAGGTGGACACAAAATAGCTGTGACAACTTTTTGCCTTCAGGGCAGCGCGTTCACCGCTTATTTTTTTCAGAATCATAATAGTCAACAAGTCTATAAAAATAAATATTAAAGCAGAAATGGTAGTTCTCTTTTTGAAATATGTCGTCGTCCTAAAAAGGGCCGGCCGTTTGGTGTGTGCTTCCTTAGAAACGATTCAAGCAAATTGTATAAGGAGAGCCGCTAAGCAAGTGTCGCACTCGTTTGGCTTTAGCGTCGTCAACAATGAAAACAATGATGCAATATTGTAGCAGCCCGTACCTGGGAGAATGGTTGAAATCACATTATTTTGGCTTTAAAAATATTTTGTAGCAGCTTGCGAATCCATAACTGGGGCCAGCAATTTTGCAATGTCATGCCGAAGACTGCCAACTTTTTTACCATCTTTTATCACCACTATTACATTTCTGTCATGAAAACTATTCTTCTGTCATTGGATAAAAAAAAAACTTCCTATTTCAAGTCCACCGCGATATCCATATAGTGAGACATTCCAACCGCTGGAACTTGCTGAATGATAACTTTCACCGTGATTTTAATAAGCGTTGAGTCTGATAAGAAAGCAATGTCACAATTTGACCTTTATGATGAAAGACTAGTAGTGATGTCATTCTTAGCCAATCAGTAAAGCAGATGCATAAAGGTCAAAGATGATTGGCATTTGCTAGACATCTTGTGCCATCGCAGCAGAGCGACTCCATTTTTCTTGTCTCTTTATTATGATTAGACATGAATGAAAAGTGTCAAGCTGACAGACTGCGAAATCCGTGGATAAGTCCAAATTGTGTGGGACGATATCGACGAACTTCAGGAATAAGTTGTAGGGATTTTGTTCGACAGCTACAGTGATGCTGACTTGGACATTTGAGGGTTTTGAGTTTGACGAAGATGGTAATGAACGTACAAATAAAGATCTGAGAAGTTTTTTTCAAACAGCTATGAATTTATAATTTTTACTGTGGATATTTGTAAATTATTATTGATCTTGTATGACGATTGATTCGTAATTTGTCAAGACCGAAATCATTTTACGCAGTTTAACCCCTGACATTTTAATTTATTTTGAGTTCACGTGTATTGG